TTTTCTGGTTTTAATTTTTTTTACAAATTTTTGTCCTCAAATTTATTCATTTTTTATTTTTATTTTTTTTTGACATTTTATTATTATTTTTTTTTTTTGACATTTTTATTTTTTTTCTTTATTTTGGCAAAATTTTATTTTTTTTAAATTTTTTGGCAAAATTTTATTTATCCCGGGGTGAACAAGGGTGGGGTGTTATTTACACCGGGGTAATTAACCAATCAGATTGCAGTATTTATGCTGCATAAGAAATAATGAAAATTATGCACAATGCTAATTACCCGGCTCAAAACACAGATTAAGGATGTTCGCTACTCTGTTTCAAAATAACAAGCTTTTAAAAAGACTGTTATAAATTGATAGTATATAAATAAAGAAACTAAAAAAGCAGAAAAAAATGAAGGGTTCGTGTGCTTGTTTTCGAGATATAAGCTGTTGAAAATTTGGCGGGAAATAATTCTCTCTAGATTTTTCTTCACTTAACATTTGCACCTTTTTTCTTTAAAAAACGATGAAAAAATAACAAGGATTTTATAAGATTTTCAAAGATGATATTTTAAACAATATGTAATCAAATTATGAAAAGAAAAGTAGGGGTTAGTGGGCAAAATTTATAATGGCACTACATGGATAAAACCAGAGGATTCCGAATATCTGGAAAAATTCAAAAACAAGAGGAGCGAACATCCTTAAGTTCGAGTTTTTATGGCGTCACTTTTACCGTTCTAGAGTTATGTCCCTTTACAAATGGAAAAAATGCTGATTTTTTTGTTTCCGTTCTCTAACTTAAGTTTGTCTCATTTAAATGTTATGAAACGTATACACAATGCTTATTACCACAAAACTCAGATCAAGTACAAATTTGGGTAGCGTCACTTTTACAGTGCTTGAGTTATGTCCCTTTTTAACGTTATATGCAAGTGGGGGCATCATCTGTGTCCCATGGACACATTCTACATTTTTTTTTTACTATGTTAATCGACTTTATTCCCTTGAACATAAAATAAAGGACACCATATGTAAATCTGTATTAAAATAAGGGGATGTAGATAAGCTTACCGGGTTATATGTTCTATACTATGCGTCATAAAAAAAAATACTTTCAATCTACATACGTAGTATAACAAAATCCGAGTTCTATATTTTAATTAGATTGAACTACTTCGATTTTGACATCGTGAATTTCCCCCTTTTTTATGTAGCATGTGCATATTTGCATTTCCACAAATACAAGACATCTGTGAGAAATATATTCCACTAGAACACACTCGCGACATCGCGGGTCCATGACTGGATTTAAAGACCAAACAGCCTATTCAGTTCTACCAGTGATTTTTCCTTAAAATTTTGTGTGAAGGTATTTCATGATTTGAGGAACAAAATATGATAAAAAAAATTGGGGGTCACCGACTTAGTTTTGTCACTATAGCAACCTCAGTTTCGTGTTATCCCGAATATTAACATGATATTTGCTTGTTATTTAAACTCTCAAAAAATCCCATTATATTAAACCTACAAGCATAATTCTTGTTTCATGTTAAACAGCAGATTTGTGTCTATCAAATACAGGTTCAAGAGTTTAAGACTATTATTGTTTTGATCTTAAAAAATATGATTTATTTCATTCCCGCCAAAAATAAAACGCAAGAATGAAAAACGTTTCAAGTATTAAAAAATATCTACCAGTGATTTTTTCATAAAAATTTGAAGAAGGAAAGTGACATGTGTACTATTCAAAATAAAGCAAAAAAATGTATATGTCACCGACCTTTCAAAAAAGTTGTGATTAATTTTCATGTTTTTTTCTCGTTCGTTTTGAAGAAAAGAGTTGTCTTTCTTCAGAACATTGAATCTGACGTCATAGTACAAGTTTTCCTTGCTGGCGTACTATTTGAAAAAAAATAGCAAATTGGACGTTTGAAACCCACATTTAAATTTTCAAGAATCAAGAATAACAACTATATTCACCTACTTTATTATCCGGTAATACAAGAGATCACATGTATGTATCAGTATCAGATCTCATGATGTTGTTGCCGCACAAAATTAACCTTCAGAAACACCATCCGTCGGAATGAAAAATTGTTCGAAATAACCTTTTACGACGCTTTAGAAAGGAAAGTCTGTTTTTTGTCCTCTCCCTCTCATTAGCAAAATCATTGAAAATAAAAAGAGAAATGAAAGATGACACTGGCTAACTTACAGACTATTTGACTATATTAGACTAGATGTGTGGGTTTTTTTGTCGCGTCAATTTCAGAACTTAGCCCTAGCGCACTCTTTCGCTACTGTTGACAGACGGACAGACATTAGCACGGGCGGACTTCTTTATACCATTATGTGTCCCGACTAAGACGAGCGTATACAAATTATTTCATCTAGTTTGTGGATTCATTATTTCTGAATATTTAAAATATAAGAAAATTAAAATTATAGGTATAATATATGAATTAAAGTTTTTGATTCTAAAACGTTATACATCCATTTATCATAAAATACGAACCCCGTTATTACTACCTCACGTGTTTTGAATAAAAGAGACAGTAAATATAAAATACAAATATTTTTTTAATTCAAAAATTGATTTAGAATCTAAGAAATAATTTTCCGTTGAAAACTATAAAGTATTTCTCAAAACTGGATGAAATATTATGAATCTAATTAGCTCATTTTGGAAATTAAAACAAAGACAAGGTTGTATGTATAGATTGCCGGCATTGAAAATCGAAATTTGTTTTCAATCTTTCCGGTCATTGTAGCTTTTTTAAAGTGAGAAATTTTATGTTGGATCTTATTCTTGAAGCAATTGTTTTTGTCATAAGTTAAATTTGCAACAAGTTTAGTTTTAAAAACCGTACATTTTTATTTTAATTCACATTCACTGAGTATATTAAATTCTGATATTTTTTGCCTTATAAGCTTCTGTGAGATCAGGCGAAATCTTTATCATTTCTCCTTGAGACAATTTGAAATGAAACAAATGACAAAAGACAATGAACCTTTATCATTTTTATTTTTCCTATAAGATTTTGTCAATTGAGCAGTATAGATAAAATTTAACTTCATTGCAAGATCACCATTATTTTACAAGAATCTTTTAAAAGAAATAAGTTAATCTCAACATGCATACGTTGCCAGTATATCGAAACTTCTAGAAAGTCATATACATTTACCAGTGTAAAGTTACACGGGCGTACGAGATTTGCGCCGATTTAAAAAAAAAAATTCGATCTTTAATTTGCGCCGATTTAATTCTTTCATTAGCGCCTATTTTATTTTGTTTATCACTTGCCCCGATACTTTATTTGCTATACGAGTAAATATATGTACATGTAGTAAACCTTGAATGTATATTGCGTGGTAATATATGGATATAAATAGTGTTCCCTTATGTTTAATAAGATAATTTTGGTCATATTGTTCGAGAACTTCGTTTTGACACGAGAAAGAAAAGATGGACTTCGTTATTGGCAAGTACAACAAGTATAGAAATTATAAAATGACAAGAAAGGAATATGTAAGATGTGTGGCATATAAATTATCGGCAAGATAATAACTCATTGTACTAGTATTACATTTTTATGGATTTCATTGTGGTGCTTTGAAATGCTGTAAATAGAATTTTACTCCGTGATTTTAGCGAATGTAAACAGAGTGCACAAATATCTTTTAAATTGACTTATCCTGCTCGAAATTCTACTCCAATCTCCCCTTTGTGAGCAGGGGACAACAGTTATATACATGTTATAATTGACGATTCATAACATATGTATAACTGACTAACGGAAGAGGTTTATATGATAAATAAAAAAAATACCTTTCACCTATAATTTACCTGTACACAATCGGCGCAAATGAAAGACAAAATCGGCGCAAGTGAAAGAAAAAAAGTGAAATGCAGATCGGCGCAAATGCAAAAAGCCGAGTTCAAAATTTATTATTATGTTTATTATTATTTTTATTAGAAAGAAGGTTACAGATAGTGCAGTATCTTTCGTGTCCATTTGTGTTTAATTTCCACTAGGTATCAGTGCGACGCTTAATTCCACTTTTCTTGGAAGACGTTATAATTTGACGTTTTTTTTCATGGCTAGAAACAACGTCATAGAGCTTTTATGTCACTACCAAGTTGCGTTAGTTGATGCGCATCAACAATAGGCTGTTTGGTCTTTAAGTACCTATACGCCTTATTTATAGCCTGGATTTTTAGTATTCGTATTGTCATCTGATATTATTATACTTCACGTTAAACTGCCATATTTTGAATGGCTAATTTACTCTATCACATGGCTGAGTATTGAATGAAATAGTTACTTTTAATTTACAAAAATATGCAGCTTAATAAAAACCATTGACCGTCAAAAGAGCCCAAATAACAGCATAGACAAAAAGCATGGCATATAACATGTATAAATTAAGACATCAGAAGCAGCACTATAGATAGAAAAAAATAAGCAGTATTATAGCAAATAGCTCAACAAAATAAGTAATTAGCAAGCAAAACTCGAATTCAGCCAAAAAGAAAGCAAATCAGGATAAAAACCAAAATAAAGGTTTTAAATAGCAGGAAGCACTTTTGAATGAATAAATCAGATGTGACGCCGCACTGGTTGGATGATTTGGATGTATTATAGTTAAATTTCTCCCAACAACACACCAGCTATTGATATACATTTTGCTTGTAAATGGGGTTGTGACTTGTATTTGTAAGCAGCAACTCTGTTAACTATATTAGGAAACGGAAGTCTTTGAATATAGTTTCATCTGAGAGTTCAAATCGATATATCTTATGCAGGTGTTGTTGGAATTTTGCTTTGTTAAAATGGAAAGTTCTAGTTTCCATGGGGTAGACGAGACCAACAAGGTCACCACCCTTTAAATAAGTCAACGTGATTACACTGATTTTACAATTTTCTTTAATGGGCCGAATGGTAAAAAGGGTCGAATTATTACCGATTGAAGTCGTCCCGTTTTAAATCGTCTGTTTCTTTCCCCATTCACAAATAGCCCTAAGTTCTAGTTTCGTAATGCGTGTTGACAAAATTCATACTTAAATCTGAAAATTGTTCAGTCTTACTATGTCTTTTTCCTGTAAAGTATCCAATATTAAACCCTTCAAATGTTTGCAGCTCATTCCAAGGTAAAGTACCACACTATTTGTGCAATATCCGCCAGTGGCAACATCAAATGTACATGTACAACAAACAAGGTCATGAATTATCGTCATAATGCATACTTAGATCTTTATATGTACATTTAAATAGTAACATGAAATGGATTCAGAATTATTTAGTGCTAAGGATCAGTTCCCACCACCATACGTCAAATTATTCCACCTATACACGTTATATAGATATTTGTCTACCTATTAAAAGTAGTATAATATGGATATCAAATACACCTTATCACTTTTTGTCCACCATTACTGAACATCTCAAAGGTTCCCGTAAAATTTTGACATCACGATAGAAAATGTTTTGATGCCACATGGCACATAGGAAAAATGATTGTTGTACATGTTGTATGAAGTCAATAGTTCGGGAGCGTAGCTATTATCCGACACCCCGAAATTTCGACTGTCCGAATGTCCAATAATCCGATGGTCCGACAGTCCGTTTATCCAACAGTCTGATGGTTCGACACGAAGCCGTGCTGCTGCAAAGGATATGGATCTCGTCACCATATAAGCTTATTAGTATACTGTTGAAACACGAGCAGTGTTTAAAATTTTAAAAATGGAATGCGTTGTAATGGGATCCAAATTAAATCCTATACTGTTTGAACAATTAATCTAAGATTCCAATCCTGTTCATCATGTTCTTCTTCTTCTTTCTGTAACTTCCTCCTGTGGTTAGGTCTAAGCACATGAATTGCTTGATTTTTACAGTGGGCTTATATTACACGGACGAAAATAGCTAAAATCACTTTGGTATTTTACAGTATAAAATGCACTTGCTTATCAAAAACGATGGGCTTATATTACACAGAAGATATTAAAAGTTATTCATTTTATTACTTCGTTTTACGCTGAAGTTTGTAATAGTCTAAAATCTATAATGTTACCGATTCACTTTATGACGAAGTTGATAATGAGAATGTCTGTTTCCATACATGCGCATGTGCGTGCATGTAACACATTATGTGGTTGAATGTGAAATGTCACATGTATTAGATGTATGCTTCTCATATCTGAGGGGCGTTAGCCCCGAAGATATGAGATGACTACATCAGATTGATTTACATAGAAGTATTAAATAATTTTTTTATTTTTTCTCTTGTTCTTAAAAGAGCAATTTAAGTTTTGATAAAATAGAAATAGTGTCATTATCTGTAATTTTCCAGATGCAGTAACACTTTCTTTCAGAAGATGTTTCATAGTTATAGATTTTAAATGAAATCTTAATAGATTGCATCTATTTTTCTGTCCTCAAAATGATACCTTATCACTGCTTTTGTATGGCAATATATATCGCTGTACTATCTTGTCTATTTCTGGTTTAATTGCCAAAACCTGAACTTTTTGCTGATAAATGATAACACTTCTATGTAAATTATAATATGGACCTAAGCATTCCTAGTTATAGAATCATCACAACATGACACCAAATATATAAAAAGAACGGAATGAAGATGGGCAATGACATGAAGACAGTACTTATTCACACACAGCAGACAAAGCAGATAGTAGTTAAGACAGATGGATGCAGTGCTGAAGGTCCAGGGTTCGATTCTGACTCTGGGCGCGAGACATTTCATAAATCAAAACGGAGTTTAAACTTTGGGGCCCCGGTGGTCAAAGTTGCCCCCAACTTTGACCTGGAAATCAATCTGCTGATAACTCTTCATTTTGTCTGTTCCCACCAAGGAGCCCTGTGGTTCTCTACCAGTACTTCTTTCACCATAATAACAGACTTCCCGGTGTCCTAGCGTTACCTTTGTGTTGAGGAGGGGATTGCCCTTGTACATATTGTTGTAAATACATTAGTGACACATCTCCATTAATCCTGATAGGGAGTGTACTCGGATTCCACTGTACCCTCGCAGATTTTGAGGGGTGCTCTGAATAACGAAGTACCAGTATATACATACGACACCACAAGCTCCAACTGAATTATCCTCAATGCGAAGTGAACCCTCTTTTTCCTCACAAGCAAACAGCTCTTCTATAATACGAAGAATATTGTGTGTATAAAAATGTGATGTGAACAAATGTAAGTGAAAATAGTTTCTTAGCCTTCCCCATAAAATTCAAATGGTTGCCCCCAGTATGACACCCGTCAATCAGGGCTCTACATTGCAACGTAAATGTTTTCACATAAAAGATGTCACGTGTAAAATCGTACGTTTATGAACATTACAAATTCCTCTGTCGTTTGATACTTCAAGTTTGATTGAACGGATTTCGTAAATATTGATGTAAATAAAAGCCCTCATTTTAATCATTTAGCTGGCCTTTTACTGTTTTAGCCCCATTCGTCAAAATTCTGTCAATTCCGTTCCACCGTCTTAGGGTATTAGCGGATTCATCGAAGGATTGCCTGTGTGAAAAAATATACCAATTTACAAACGTTACATGTCTATATAGGCATATTTTTCAGAGACAAGTGACCACACATCAGACTATCGGGCTGTCGGATTATAGGACTGTCACCTATAGGATTGTCAGATTATAAGACTGTCGGACTACAGGATTGCCGGATTATGGGACTGTCGGATTAAAGGTCTGATCCCCAATAGTTCAAGTGTCGCAAATTCTCAGCTCAAGTGTCACATATTCCCGATTAGCCATAAGGTCTATACATCATGTACTTTCCTGAAAGTTTTGATGTCACATGAGAAAATGTCTGATGCAAAAGAGCAAAAATGAATGATGTTGTTTAACGTCAATAGCTGAAGTGAAATATCAGATCAAGTGTCATCAAATTCATATAGCAATTAAATCTACAATAAATATTAAGAAATTGAGCAAAGACATGTCGTCCCAGTATAATTTGTCTAAGAAGGTTGGCAAGTCATCTTTTCAGGAGCACGAAAACTCTTATCTTTGTAAAAATGGTAAAATATGATACAGTAGGCTTACTATTTACTTGAATAAGGTAAAATAAGTAATACACTTTTCATGCTTGATATAATTTGTTTCACAAAAACCAATACAGCCAGTTGTCATACATGTATGTGTCACAGTGTAGACCATCTTGACATCACATTTTTACCTTTTAAATATTGATGGGCTGTTTGTTGAGAAGAATATTTGTTTGATGTTTTCTTCATGTTCCTTATGACTGCACTCTGACTGACATTATCTCTACTTTTTTTATGGTTATTTAATTCATTTTTACCATGGATTTTATAGTGCTATATTACAATTCTTGGTTTTGCAAAAATAGCTTACACATTTTTGTACCAGCTCAGACATGTGCTTATAAAGCTTAATTCTTTTTCAGAGTTATTTGCAGAGGAAGCGGTATTCACAGTTCAGCTAATCATGTTTTACGAAGACAGAAGTTTGATCCAGTAAAATTCTGCAAAAGAAATGCATCAACACAGAGTAGTAGTGTATTGGAAACAGTAAATTACCTGATATGGACCCCTGTTTATCAACCAATTAGTGTATTGTTGAGCTGTGCTGCATACATTATTTATTTCTATTATCTTAAAGAAGACCTTTCAAATGTTGAATCTAATTTCAGAAAGATAATCTATGAACAAATTGATCCAGGAAATGAAGAGTATCAGGAAGAAATTCATTTACGGAATTATATAAGATTACGTATCTATAACAACCTCCCAACAGATGATTATGAGAAAAGATTAACACAGCTTGTGAGGGAAAGGAAAGCCAAACAAAATAAAAGATTTGAAAGCCAAGGAATTGGGTCAATGGAATGAAAATATGATATAATGACTTTCTGACCAATCTTTTTCTTTACCATTTTGTAGTACAAATGTATTTTGGTAATTTCAGCATGAACATGATAAATGTGACAATTGTTAGTACTATAGATGTACTGTAATTTTTATGTAAAATATAAATATTTGAAAGAAAATGAAGTAGTTGTCAACTTGTATCTTTTATTATACCCACCCAGCAAACTCCATTGGGCCTTCATTTCTTCTTGAATTCTCTTCAAATTTGAATAAAATTTTACTTGCATTAAAATGTTGAATGAAATTCAACTATGAGAACAATTTGATTAGGGAATAATTCTTAAGAATGAGGACTTCTGTTTTTTCATTGGTGTTTGGTAATAGGATACACGTGCTTGCTCACTAAGGATCTCTCATCCTTTTATGATGTGACAATTATTTATTGCTGATCTGATAATTATAGGGTAAGAAGAAATTTTGCTTAAGTGTTTGGATACTTGACTGTAAAGTGGCCGATATTACATGTGGAATGCTTTGCATTCAATTCACTGTTACATAATCTAAAAAACTGTTGTTAAGTTCATTGTGTGTACACCAAGATGGAAAATAGCATTGCAGCATTGGTTTATTTTCATTGTTTAGCATGTTGTTAAAAGATCTCAAAGCTTTGATGTCACCTTTTAAAATCTTACAAAGAAAGCATTGAACTCTGAACTGGTGAATTAAAGGACTGTTAGGGGCATGAACATTCTATGATATATATAATTAAATATATAAATTAACATCTGACAGTCAGATGTCAGTGACTTTCGTACATTTACAAAAGATAACATAAAATTGAGAATGGAAATGGGGAATGTTTCAAGGAGACAACAACCCGACCAAAGAGCAGAAAACAGCCAAAGGCCACCAATGGGTTTTCAACACAGCGAGAAAATTCCTCACCCGGAGAGGGGATTCAGCTGGCCCCTAAACAAAAATGTGTACTAGTTCAATGAAAATGGACGTCACACCAAACTCCAAAACATATAAATGAACTAAAATTAAAAAACATACAAGACTAACAAAGGACAGAGGCTCCTGACTTGGGACAGGCGCAAAAATGCGGCAGGGTTAAACATGTTTTTAGTGAGATCTCAAACCTCCCCCTATACCTCTAGCCAATGTAGAATAAACAAACACACAGATGTATAATGATCAATTGGGAATAAAAGCACTGGTATATATATATATATATTTATATATAATAGTGGTAATTGGTCAGAGTATGGCATTATGTTGTTGCATACACCGCATTGTAATCAACTGTAAAAAAATCGATCCAGTCTAACAGATTTTGGCATGCATGTTCAGGATATCAGTAAAAGAAGATGGCAGGTTTACATCAATGAGACTGCAACCTCATGATGCAAAAAAAAACAAGATATCTATTTCACAGGCTTATGCTAGTTTTACATGGAAAATCTCTCATCATGGGAACAATTGGCAATTGACCTTGTCCAGCACTTTCAAAAATTGTTTGTGGCAGACCTTTATTCTGAAACCTCAATAGTCCGACCCCACATTGGTCCAATACCCAAATTGTCTTACACCCCATTACCCCATTGGTCAAACACCTTAATAGTCTGACATCCAATAGTCCAACACTTTAATATTTAGACAATTTAAGTTAATAAAATTAAAATGGAAATGGGGAATGTGTCAAAGAGACAACAACCCGACCAAAGAGCAGCCGAAGGCCACCAATGGGTCTTCAACACAGCGAAAAAATCCCGCACCCGGAGGCGGGCTTCAGCTGGCCCCTAAACAAAAATGTGTACTAGTTCAATGAAAAATACCTTCTTATATAAGAAAGCATGATAAAGAGTTCATTTAATATTACGAGGTAAGGAGCATGGAACAAAAACCCCATACTTATTTTCCGAACAGGTAATGCAAGTTATCAAGGTAGGTTGGTAATATTAGTGCTAATAGCACGAATTTGTCACCAAGTCAACACATTCAATGGTAGAGACACATTACAAAAGTTTAGCATGCCTAAAAGGGAGTGTTGAGCTCTTTGCATAAAGCAATAAATTTCTCAGATTCATGACTGTTTTCCCTCCCAAAACAAATAAGTAAGATAGTAAAGACTTCAATTAAACTATACTTACATGAGTATATGAGTGATCATGTTTATGATATGCCTAATCTGTTTAAAGTTACAACAGATTACTTGGACACACGAAACATCTTTTTATACGACCGCAAAAAAATGTTTGTGGTCGTATATTGGTATGACGTTGGCGTCGTCGTCGTCCGAAGACACATTGGTTTTCGCACAATTAAGGAATTAGGGGCCAAAAAGGGGCCAAAAATAAGCATTTTTGTAACTTCCAGACATAACTTGTGTGTTAGTGTATGGATCTCTCTGACATTGTACCACAAGGTTCCATATCACAAAGGGAAGGCTGGGATTGATTTTGGGGGTAATTGCCTCAAAATTTTAGGAAGTAGGGGCCAAAAAGGGGCAAAAAACAAGCATTTTTTCTAGTTTCATGACAATAACTTGTGTGTAAGTCTATGAATCTTTCTGAAATTATACTACAAGGTTCCATATCACAAAGGGAAAGCTGGAATTGAGTTTGGGGGTAATTGCCCAAAACGTTTAAGAATAAGGGGCCAAAAATAAGCAATTTTCTAGTTTCCAGACAATAACTTGTGTTCAAGTATATGGATCTCTCTCAAATTGTACAGCAAGATTCCATATCACAAAGGGAATGTTTGGATTGATTTTGGGGGTAATCGCCTCAAAATTTTAGGAATTAGGGGCCAAAAAAGGGGCAAAAAACAAGCATTTTTCTAGTTTCATGACAATAACTTGTGTGTAAGTCTATGTATCTTTCTGAAATTGTACTACAAGGTTCCATATCACAAAGGGAAAGCTGGGTTTGAGTTTGGGGGTAATTGCCCTAAATGTTTAGGAATATGGGGCCAAAAAAACAAGCATTTTTCTAGTTTCCAGACAATAACTTGTGTTCAAGTGTATGGATCTCTATGAAATTGTACTGCAAGGTACCATACCACAAAGGGAAGGCTGGGATTGAGTTTGGGGGTGATGAATCATAAGGGGGTTCAAAAAATTGGGGGGGGGTTTCCTTTTTTTTTCTTTAAAATTTTTCATTTTTAATTGGTTATTTCTGATTTATATATAAAAGCAAATAATAATGATATGGTTTGAATAGGTAAATTAAAAAAAATTAAGTTCTTAGACCACATTCATTCTGTGTTAGAAACCTATGCTGTGTCAAATATTTAATCACAATCCAAATTCAGTGCTGTATCAAGCTTGAATGTTGTGTCCATACTTATCCCAACTGTTCAGGGTTCGACCTCTGCGGTCGTATCAAGCTGCGCCTAGCGGAGCATTTTATTGTATCTAATAAGACATTTGGATGGATGGGCTCAAATGTAATAGTTACATGCCATAATTTGGAGAGTTTAGTCTGTCTATATGTGCACCATTGATTAAAGAGTTTGGATAGTATTTAAAATCCTGAAACATCTAAGACAGTGAAAAAAAAAATACCGACCGTGCGAGGGCTGTATAGCCAGTCAAGGTCGTTAAAAACTCCCATCATCATCATCAGTGAAAAAAACTGGTTACAAATCAAAGTGCTTGTGATCTTCCAGCACTGAACGACAGAGTTCTTTCATTCTGCAATGTCAACTTGTATTTTAATTTTTGACATTGCATTGTTCTGTTCTAAACCATTGACTACATTAAGGCAATACCTTGAATCAGAGTTATCGGCTTCCTAAGGCTATGACCATAATTGTAGTTCTCAGGTTTACCTGTTTTTAGAACAGATATGATGAACAACTTTAATATGTAATTTTCAATGAAAATAGTTTTCTTTACAAGCATGGTTATACACATACACATCATTTTGTAACCTCAATTTCTGAGTATATATTTTAAGATAAATTGCTTGACATAAACATATGGATGTGATTTAAAAAATGTTCACCTTTCTGCATAATTTATGTCGCTGTGCTCTCAAAAGAAGTTGTAAATACCAAGGGGGCATTCCAAACTCACAAGTCGAAGATACATTGACGTCATTGTAAAAAATGTAAAACAACAAAAAAGACACCAGTCAACAAAATATTACATAGACTGCAACACGAAACGGTGCACCAAATACTAGGATTGATCTCAAAGGTAGAAATTAGTCCTGAAAATTTAGCTATCAAGCCAATGATGATATTGATAGGTTTTGACATGAAAACTTTACCCCAACAATGGGTCAAAGACAGTGGCGTAGCTTAACTCTTATTTCATTGAGTGGGGCAAACGATTTGCAGCTTGGGGTTTAATGCCTCAGCATGGACCGCGATGCTGAGCATGATTGGTTATAATTAATGAAAGGTCGAAACCCAAGTCGCAAAAGAGATTACAGATGCAACAAAACGAATTTTATAAAGGATTTTGTTGTTGATTGTTTGCTCGACGTCCAGGGGCAAATATGTTATGATTGTTCAGGACGAGAAGACATCAAAACGTCCATTATGTAAGATTTGCAAAATGTGTTGATAACGATGAATGCCGATAAGTTTAGAATTGTCCGTAAATAATGATGCAACTCAAAACGATATAAACAATATAGTTTTAGATATCAGCAAAAATTTAAAAAAAATCTGCGGCAAAAACTTTTGGGAAGATTAAAAAACATAAAAAAAATTTACAAACATAAAGACTCAACACCTTGGTTTAATAGAAAATGCTCGATGAGTAGAAAAAAATTTATAAAGCTCGAAAGAGATATATTTTCAAAATGTTGAAAACAGACGCAAAATGAGACAAGATAGTAACGAACATAAAATAACATTAAATAAGGCTTTTGCAAACTATCAACATAGGGCTGCTGATGAGTTGCGTAATATTTCTAAAAAGGATACAAAAGCTCTATGGAAAATCCTTAAGGATGTTCGCTCTTTTTGTTTCAGATTGTTTGCCAGATATTCGAAATCCTCTGGTTTTATCCATGTAGTGCCATCAAAAATTTTGCCCACTAATCAATACATTTCTTTTCATAATTTGATTACATATAGTTTAAAAGCCATATTTGAAAATCTTATAGAATCCTTGTTATTTTTTTCATTGTTTTTGAAAGAAAAAGGTGCCAATGTTAAAGGTATGA